ATGTTGTGCAGCTCCCGCTTCTCCTCCTTGTCAATCTTCTTCACCCCCACGGCTTTCAGCAGCGCACGTCTCTTCTTGGCAGGGTAGGGCTGGAGGAAGAAGCCATCCTCCAGGTCCACGTTGCTGACGTCGATGTCATCGTCGGAGATGTCTTCGATGGTGAGCTGGTTGGCCTCCTCCGATTCCTTCGTGCCATTCATGGTTAGCTAAGGGCAAAAAATGGGCAAAGCATTAGGGACCTGTTGGGGACACGGAGTCATCAGCATCCCAAGGTCAGGAGAAACAAGAAAGGAAAGATCTGCCACCCGTGGCAGCCGATCTGAGGACCAACATCTGTGTCAGGGCTCCCAAAGACCTGACAGACACCTGACGTGGAGTTCAATGTCTTTTCCATCGCTTCTCAAAGGTGGACAACTGAGCTGAAAATCCCACACCGAAGCCTCTGTTTTTTCGAGACCCAAACAGGGTTAAGGACTGATGCCCCCAGGTCTCAGAGAAGTTCCTACTAAAAACTGGCCATTAACTAACGACATCCACCAGCTCCTCACCAACCCAGCCCCATGCTCCTACTCACTTTCCATTTCAATGCTTCCAACTTCTCCTCTTTTAATTTCTCTTCGAGTTTCTCCCGACGAACATTTTCCTGCTCCTTTGAAAACTCCGCTAGTGTGAACTGCCGGGAGGAGCTGTGTTTGCTCACCATCCCCAGGGTACAGCCCCCGCGACTAGGCACGCTCGTGAACCCCTGGCAGCGTGGGAAGTAAAACACAGTGACCCGGTCAAACTCCACATTGTTCTTCTTTAGTCGCTTGGATTTCTTCAGGATAGACGTGGCTAAAAATGGGGGAAGGGGAAAAAAAAAAAAAGTGCACAAAGTCAGTCTGCCAAAGTCTGCCATCCTGCAGACAGGATAGAAATATTACAAACAGGCTATAAATATTACAAACAGGCAGGACTTGCAATTACTCTCTCAAAAGGGACACGATGGGACAGGGTTACAACATCACTTGATGGTTTCTGGTGTTTTAAGACCTAACACTTCAAAGATGGGATGAGGATGGAGAGGAAACTAAGCCAAGCTCTGATGCATCAGAGTCACCGATCAGATTCTCCCTAAGAAACGGCTGCTGCTTCTCCTTCCCGCTTGGCTTCCTCCAGGAAACAGACATTTGCTTATTCTTCACGTGCAGCAGAGCATAACGAACAAGCAAAAAAACATCCTACATGTCTGTCTTGCTCTAAACCCAAGCACCCTGCCCCACATTCAGGAGCTCATGGTCTGCTCCCGGGATGCCAGAGCACCAACACTCCAGCACTGCGTGGCTCCAGCTTTTGCGGCAGGGCAGAAAACAGCCAAACCGGCTGTTTTTCTGGTACTTCCTTTCACCATCCACTGGGAGGAACTATGAATCTATAGTTTATTCTCAGGAGACTCATTTGACAGCAGCTGCAAAGATGTTAATCTTTATGCAGGTGATCTCAGGGTAAACATGGCAATACATGACTCTGGTTTATCTTAAACTGCTGAAACATGCTACACACCATTTAAAGCGGAGCCTCTCCAGAGATACCTGGGTCTGCACATTTGCACGTGCAAACGTAGCAGATGGAGGTGGACTAATTAGCCAGGGCAGTTTCAGAGTCAATGACTTTCCACGAACGTAGCTGGCCATGGAAAGCAAAGTGAAATGCAGCAGTACTGGGTTACAGGGCTGCCTTGAGCACATCAGAAACAAGAGTCAGCTACGCACAAATTCGGTGGTGGGGTTTTTTGGTCCCATTCTCTGTTGGTGCGTAGATGTCTTGGTTGCCACCATAGAGAATATGGGAAAAAACAACCCAAAAAGGATGGGTGACTCCTGCAGAGCTGGGATCCGAGCCCCGCTCTTCAGATGGCAGAGCCGCAGGCAGCCCTACTGCGGGGAGCCAACCGAAAGGACTGCCGAAAACCCAAGGGGCTTGGCTGGCCCCGAAGGCTGGGAAAGTGCAAGGCCAGACAGTTAGCTGCACCCATGTTTCACAAGTCTCACTTGCCAAAATATAGCATTTCGGTTTCATATGAAAAAAAAAAAAAGTGTTCACCCAGCTGCGTCAGCAGCTTCTGCTAAATAGCTGGGGGTTTCACACTGGGCTCTGCAGTCGCTTTGATGCTATCTTTGCGCTGCACATTGCATTTTCATAATAACCTTGACTCAATCTTCTAAAACATTAGCTCTTTATCAAAAGGCAAGTTAACCACCGCGATCATCTATCGGCTAAGCTGCTGCACTTTGGCATTTGCTTCTCTCTCCCCACACCCCTCCTCTGAAATTGTTTTCCCATTCCTGACCCTTTTCCAATTGAGCCAGAGAATACAAAAAGTTCATTGTTTTGTCACAAAACCTGGGAAGACAAGCAAGAATGAGACTCTTTATTATTATAAGACTTCTAAAGCCTTTTCAGACCACTGCGTGTTTGTGTATGTCTGCTAAGTGGACCTTAACTGCTACATACAGTGGGTGTTCAGTATAATTTACTAGGTTGGACTGTTTCTCCTCCTTGAAGATGTTCCCCTATTGTATTTTTAATTCTTCCCTTTACATGGCAGATAAAGGATTTTACAACCTTGCCCTCTGCATGTTTTCCAAAAAGCTCTCAAAACTGATATTGCTGGGAAAACAAAATAGCATCTATCTGTACTAACAGTGGAGGCAATGTCAAACGTGTCGTGTTCTTTGGCAAAGTACCCAACTTATGTAGGAAACGAGTTCTGAAACAGTAATTACACTACTGGTTAATCATTTTTAAAAACCAGCGTCATGGGCCTTTGCTGTCTGTTTAGTTTTTGCCTATGGAATAGCTTGACAGGGGATTGAGGGATGGTGGGATTGTCCTACAGCACTGGCTTGGAGGCACCTGCGTGCCTCTGCACACCCAGGTCCTTGGGTTTCTATTCCTGGAAATTTGGACTTCAGCAAAAACTGTATAAAGGAATGATAAACGCTGGGAGGAAGGGCTGAGGAAGACTACTCTGAGGATGTTGGCCAATTATAAAAACAAGATAAATTGGTGTAATGACAGGGAGCTGGCATTACGGCTGCTTCCACCCATAAAAGTGTGCTCCAAGGGGGGGTCTGCATGGTGACGACCCACCAGCACGCTACAAAAAACCCACGCAGAAGCATGCCTGATCCTGGGAAAGGGGCTGCCGGAGATACTCACGGGTAAAGCTGGGCGTTAAGGCAGAGCTGGGCTTGGGCTCTCCACGGGAGTTCTCCTCATCTGACTCCCAGCCTGAGGATGCCGAGGAGGAGAGGGGGGAGCAGGAGGAGGAGGAGCAGTAGGTACTGTCATCCCCCAGCTCTTCATACTTCCTTTTCAATACTCCGCTCATGGTGACGCCGTATTTTTCATGTAACTGCAAAACAAAGGAGAAAAGCAAAATAAAGCGAGGGAAATACTGGCAGTTTCTGGGGATGAGCAGGATGGCTTTAATCCCCAGCAAGGCTTCTCCCCCAGGTCCACCTGGCCATGCAGGTGTGATTGATTGCCAAAAAGTGCTCTGCCCCCAAAAAAACATACCTTACTACCCTCGCTGTGCACACCTGCTGAATTTCTCTCCCATTTTACAATGCTGCAGAAAGACCGACTATCACAGACTACAAACTGTCCGGAAACCAATTCAATCAACACAAACGTTATCAAACAATAAGTATTACATTTTGCTTACTAATTCTTTTATGTTAACTCCTTAACCAGATCGCTTTTTATGCAGTTACAGCTTTAACGTCTTGCTAATTACAAAAATAAGCCAGTTTGCAGAGAACAATCTGTTGGCATGATTTACTTGCTACAGCCCCCTGGGGAAACAGACTTATTAAATGAAGCACTGAAATACAAATATATCAACTGTGAAGAACAGCCCTGCTCCTCACGGTGCCTTTCATAGTCAGTCCCCCATTCAATAAGCTATTCTTGTTTAGGCTGGGTTATGTATCAAGCATAGTAGCAATTAAAAACAACGCAGCTAATTAAAAACAAAGGAGTTCTGTACTTGCCTAGATTCCAAAATTTCCTGCATGCGTTTCCCCTGCTCATCTTAAAAAAGAAAAAAACAAAAACAAACAAACAAAAAAACACCAAAAAACCCACAACAAACAAAAATAACTTTGTTGCGTCTTTTAACCTTTGCTTTTGCAAAGTTTGTGGGGTTTTTTGTTTCCTGAAATTGCACAAAAGCTACATGCTTTGCCTACACTAGGCTAATGGATATCAGAGCCCACCTAACCTGGGATGCTCTCGCATAGACAATGGACTGTTTCTCCTTTTAGATGCTGATAACACTGCACCAGATAGATGCCTCCGCTTCTGCAGAAGTCAACTCACTGCCAGCCTATTTTGAAGCCAGTGAGCCATACCCAAAGCTGAGAACCAGGCTGCTGCTGGAGGAGTGACTTGCTTTGACCCCATCACACCACACTGTAAGGCACAACCACGGTGGAAGAGACGCGGCCCCAGCCCAAAACCCCCCCCCAGCAAGGAGGGGAGAGCCCCAGCGATGTGGGATGCTACCAGCCACCCCGGTGAGTCAATAAAACCAGAGGTAATACACAAAATGTAAAGCATCCCTAAAATATGGATGACATTGGGACAGACATATACAGCCCTTGGACTGGGACAGTGACAGTGCAGATATGGGGGTACCAGACACCTGGTCCCCATCCCCTCCCCGCAGCTGAAACTCCTCCACTGGCCAAATTTGTTCTTTTTAACTGTAGCACTTTCTCACCCTCTTTTGCATGTCTGAAGTTAATTTAAGTCTCTGAAAAAGAAAAAAAAAAAAGCAAAACAAAACAACACTAAACCCACCCTCCTGACAGCCCTGAGGAGGCGGCACAGAAACCACAGCAACTTCAAAACCTCCTAACGATGGGATTTTCAATATCTCGACAGCACCGCACAGTAACATATAGCGGGACCGCAGCACACACGGTGCCTTCAAAGCCCCGCACCAGCCCTTGTTAATTATGTTTACCAACAGCTTCCCAGGAGACAATAGTCCTCTAAAAGGTCAAAAAAAATCCCTGGATGAAGCAGTTCCTTGGCCTGAGTTAATCATTCACTGCAATGCTCGCCTATGGGGCCAGTGCATCCCCCACAACCCCCTGAACCTGGATGCTGGGGAGAGGTGATTCCCTCCATCCTTCCTCCTCTTCCTCAGCAGCCCCGGAGCTGCAGGTGGTTTTGCCAAGGAGGGGTTGTTGTTTTTTTGGCCTCAATCCAAAACAGATGAGGAGAAGGTGGATTTGGCCACCCTCCAGCCCCAGCAGCACATGTCCTACCTGACACCCGGATTAACCCCTTTCCTACCCGTGCCCCAGCAACGCAAAGCTTGCAGGCAGCCACGACGCCCAAACCAGCTACCTGGCTGCATTTACAAACCTTTTATTTTTATTATTTTTTCTTTTTTTTATTTTGTGCCTTCTGCTCTGTCTCACATGTGCTTTAAGAAACAACCAGGAGCAAAGAAACCCTCCAAATCCATGGCAGGGGTCTGAATCAAAGCCCGAGCTGCAGCCAGAGGTTTCCTTGCCTCAGCTGACCCCATCGTCCACGCGGAGCAGCCAAAACCATTGCAAAAAAATCCCGCACATGGCTTGAAAGAGCATCAGTTCGCACCGCACAGCAACCACTCGCAGCTCTAAAGGACACCTCCGACGCTGCCAGTGAAAGATGCCGCTGTCCAGCCAAGGGAGGGAGAAACCTGCTCCCCAAAAAGCCCATAGGACACATGTCCAACAGCAAACACCCTCGGGGATGCGATGTTGACCACATCCAAGCCTCACAGGAGACACCAGAGGGTGGTAGAGCAGCCAAGACCACCCCACTGAAGCAGGCATAACTCCCAGGTCTAGACTCAAAAAAAAAAAAAAAAAAATAACCCCATCCATCATCTATTTCTACCAGGATTTTCCTGGTCTGCAGGACCCCTAGATAAGTGAGGGGGTGGACATCGTGATGCTGCAGAGCGATGCAGCCTTGATGCTCAGGTCGCCTGCATCGCAGCACCCATCATGAGCCACGGTGCCTCCCCCCAAACCACAGAGCAAGAAAAAAACGAAGCGTTTTCCTCAAGTGAGCTAACCGAATTAACACAAACACCAAGCCAGAGCCGAGCCAAGCTGTGTATAAGATGGTGCAATTTTATTTATTTATTTATTTTCTTAAATACAATCATCGCTGATTAGCCACGTCTGGCAGAAGGATGAAGGGAGGTGTGTGCATCTCCCATCTATGAGAACAAGCCAAATGCATAGAAAAAGAGCACCTTTGGCACGCTGTCTGATTCAAAACACCCATTGTTTTGTCAATGCAAAGTAGGTGTCGTGCAAACATGATTCTCAACTAATGGGAAAAAGCTGGTGAACCTGTTGCCCACCAGCCAAAACACATTAATTTCCCCCTGTAACGCCTTCCCCTGCTTTGCTGATTTATGGCTGCCATGTTTTCCAGGTCAACTTTTTAAATCCTTCTCAGGAGCTATACGTGATGGAGTGGGGCTGCACCCATCGGTGTCTACTTGTATCCACCTCAAAAAAATCCTCCAGACAGGGTTTCACTGTCAAGGCAAAGACGATCCTCTCCTCTCCTCCTCGCCCCAGCACTTGGGAGCAGAATTCATGCCAGTGATTTGGACACTGCCTTGACAGCCATGTCGTCGAAACCACTGGCCGCTCAGCCAAAAAACCCCAGAGGCCAATTCAGACACCGAGAGGATATTTTAATTGCAGTATTCCACAAGTAATCTTAAATACACATTGGTGTCCTATAAAGAAGTCACAAAAATGTGCACAGCAGCATGAAAAAACCCTATCTATCTATCTGTATGTGCTGTGCTTGCCACTGTAAATCTCTGCAGGCACCACCGTGCATAGGATTTTGCCACCTTCTCCTTCCCTCTCTCTCTCTCTTTTTTTTTTTTTTTTACATAACCTGAAATAAAATAATCCTATCTTCCTTTTACTTGCCAAAAAAGACATTCTGTTCTTGGCTAAGACTTCTTACTCATCTATTTTACTGAAAACAGCTTTTGGAACAAGTACATAATGCAATGGATCAAACCCTCAGGAATTCCTCTCTGGCACCAGAACTCCCACTATCCTGGGAATACTTTCTAACAAATATTTAGCCCAGATGTGCATTCCTTTCTTTTTCTCTCCCTCTTTTTTTTTTTTTTTTTTTTTAAAAAAGCATTAAAGTTTGGGTGGGGGGGAGTGAGGGGGCGGCTGTCTAGTTGGGGCGGGGAGGGAATCGAATTTGCAAAGTCCCATTTCTGGTGCTCGGCAAGTCGCAGGGTAAAGCCCTAACACACTGGAATGCGAGGAATTAATGTTTTAACTATCCTCCTCTTGGACGACGTCTCAACAGTAAATATTTCGAGTAATTTAGATTTAAGAAGGTTTGGCATTTGTTTAGCCAAGCACAGAGGAAGGCAACTGAAACCCCTACCAGTGTCCAGTTAGTTTATTTATAAGAGACAGCACAAAGAGGCATCACGGCTTTGTGCAGAAGTACGCGGAGAAGATGTTTCGGCGCCGTATTTTGGGGCTGTACGTGTGCTTTGCACCGGGCAGGCGAAGGCAGGGGTGCAAGCGAGGCAAAGGAAACTTCTCCAAGCAAGTCCAGCAGCTGCATTTGCTTATGTCAACTCCCATGGTATTGCAGGAGAACACCTATGAGCAACGCTATTTAAAATTCTGGAGTTTCTGTCAGCGGAGCATCCTAAAGAATGGAAGGACCCCAAATCTGTGCATGAGCTAGTGAAAGCAAACTTTCTTCTGCAAAGCTTTTTGGGTAAAAACAAAACAAAACAAAACAAAAAAAACACAAAACACACCAAACCCACAAAAACAAACCCCAAACCTCAGTGCAAAGCACTAAAAATATTTCTTTTCCAGTGACTTTTTTGAGCCGGTTTGCTGAATTTACAAGCACAGCCGTCGGCCTGCAGCCCGGGAAGCCAAAGTGGACTCTTCTCGGCACACCGGGATGAAGGCTCGGGCGCCGGGAGCGAGTTACAGCTCTGCTGAGCCGTGACTCAGAGCAGCTCCCGCTCCCTCCCCCAGAGCCACAGTGGCTGTGCAGGTCTAGCAGGAGTAAATATTAGTTTAAAAAACACCACCGCATATTTTAGCCAGGTACGGCTCTGAACACAACTCGTGGAACAAAGCTGGGGGGGGGTTTGGGGTTGGTGTTTATTTGCACGCCGCTCTTTATCGTGGGTCAGGCAACTTTGGTGCAAGTATCACCAGAAATTGGTGCAGAGCTGAGCTTCCCCTGTAGCTATCCCAGATATTTGATGTCCAACAGCAGTGGTGATTCCAGTAATGCCTC